CAACGTAACCTTCTAATTGAATCTCGGTATCGTTCATGTTACTTTAAAACGGCGGACATAAATTTATTTCTTTTAGATTACAACTGAACAATTGCTTACTTTTTTTTAAAATTTCGATACTACTACCTAGAATCAGGCGTTCGACACGTCTGCGTTCTATGTGGTCCTAGCATTTGAACAGGCCCATTCTGAAATAAATGTTGTTTTCGGGCTCCGCCATCGGTACACACTAGCATTTTGTGATATGATAATGCAATTGAGCTTATATACGTATATATATCAGCGAAATTGTGGGCAATTGAAACGGTAGGTATAAAATGACAATTACAATGTGGGGCGGATACGGAGTTAAATTTCAATTTCTTCTCAACGCAGTCTCTACAAGCTCAATATGGATATATTTAATCGCTTTAATTGTCATGTTATTGTGTAATTTGTTGAGGTAAGTGCATTTTTAAATAAATTTATACGATAGTTAATTTTTATTTACTTATTAGAACCAACGAAGCATTTGCATAACATACGATGCGATAATAGCTCACAATTTAGGTCACAAATGAATAAAAACGCAATGCAAGACTAAAAAAAATATAATACCAGCATATATAATACAAAATAAGTTGAAACTACATATTGTTCTGTCCAAAGGTCTATGAAAATAAGAGTTATCGGAATGAGAAAGTCAGTGTCACAAGCCAACATTGACAAATGGGTCAATAAGCGGCTATATATATCATTTGAACATAAATTAACTTATATGGTACAGAAGAAAAAAATAAGGAAAGGACTAAGAAATTACAGTATTGGTAACATACAATTTGTAACCTTGTTAAGATCAACTAACCAAGGGATAAAAACTATCATGCGTTATTTCACAAAGTGAGTACTAAAAATAGAGAATGATTAATCAATTATTAATGTTAATAAGATAGCATACAATGTACATAAATAATTGTATGTTAATACCATCCCAATACTTAATATACGAGTACGTACATATACAAAGTTGATGTTAGAAAATTATTAAGGCCTTAAATTTTCAGAGGTGGAACAAATAATAAGATTATTGGAACCTACCGGACCTGAGGCATGGATAAGTTAATTTTAGTGTATACACGACGCTGTCAAGTTGATCGGAACAAACGCGGTCTATCAACCATAACCGGGTGAAAATTAAAACTATATTTAATGTTATATTATTTAACAAAGGAGAAAGACGTGCATAAAAATGTTCTGTACAGAATTTGGAAAACTAAAAAATCGCGCAGCAGTTGCAACCGTCACCTTAAGACAAAATTCGACATGTTAGTTCGGAAATTTAACAAGCTACTACTGCGCCCTTCAAAGCGAAAGACATTTAGGTGCTTGACGGTAAAACCGTGTCGTTACGTAATAATTTACTTACATATTTCTCATTACATCAGCATCACAATTTACTTCATTAAACCCTGTATCCACAAAAGTCGTCTGCTTTTTCCATTCCTGCAAGTCTTATTTCCGTTTGGTTCCAATGGAAATGCTTCCGTATGTTCATCGAATAATATTCGCAAACAGAATTTATATAATAAAAGTCCTAAAATTGTTACTTGTTGAACTCCGCAGGAACGTCGTATTACGAACAAACTTTGATACAGATATAGAAATTATCTTCACCTAATCACTATTACAATCATTGAATGTTTACTCTTGATAATTGATTTTTGATTTTTTTTTATCAAGTAATAAAAGAGTTTTCGATTACAGTTCAATGACAAAACAAGAGTAATAGCATCGCATTTGAAAATTATATTAATTATTGTTATTTTTTAAGTTTTGTAGCGAAATTGTAGCTATCAATAAATCATAAAAAAATTGTTCGTAGGCTTTTTTTCACGTGTTTATATAGGTCAACGGCATTTATCGTAAACTTCCGACAGTCAAGAACAAACCGGAATTTAATGCAGGGTCTCTAGTTTTGGAGGTGAACCACTAAAATGCTACTTTGTAGGCGCATTTTTGTAGTTTCATAGAGAATAAAAATATAAACTTATGATGTATCAATAAAATAGTGAAAAGACAAGTAATTTTTTAACAGCACTCGATGATAAAATATATAAAAATTTAATCGTTGGATCTCAAGTTACTCTAAACCTTCCTTAATAATTACAGATAACTTAAAGAGGCACTAAGCCAAATGTGTACTGCATTTGAAACGCCGATAGACAAACGGTCCAAGCAGCGGATTACCGATCTAGCGGTCGTGGGTTCGAATACCGCAAATCAACTCTTGTCGGGAACCGTATCCTAGCTTCGAGCTTATCTTGAATGGTGAAAAGAAATATATCGACAAATTAAACGGCTAACATTAAAAAAAATAAACATATGTCTGAATTCAGACTGCTTATTAAATAAGATCACAGACATAGTTTACACTAAAAATTGATAATTTTTCTTTACTACTATAAGCACATTATTCCCGCCTAAATTGACAATAATAATAATTGAATTAAGGAAATAAAGATTTTTATATCTACATAAATCATTAGAAATGTGTTTTATTTACACAAAGTTTTTATTATGGTTTTGAAACAAATGTAGGTAGAAATTGAACAATTTTTATCTTATATATTTTGTAAAAAAACTGATAATGTTGTTTTGATACGACCGTATAAATTTTATGAAGAAACGTATTTCACAAAAATAATTTTCAATATTCTAAATTTAACATCGTAGTTACGGAGTTCTTGGCAAATCTAAGTTCCTTGTCACGTAAATATGACATATCGGTAACGAGATTAAATTGATATGCATTTCAATATAAATACAAAATGTCTCAGATAAATCAGATAATAAATGTATTCCGTATATTAAATAGGTGTATATGTTAATTAAATAATAACTAGAAAAAGTTTGTTGTTATTTGTAACGCAATGTGTCAGGTTCACGTTCAATTGCCGGTAAATAATGCACACATGCACCAACATAAACAATAACTCGAACTTGACCGAGATTCGACCAACAAATGTTTCATACACAAAACTGGTTCACTAATATCCACAGGTTAGTTAACGCATCATAACGCACGAATGCATAACTATTAATTTTTAACTCTTCGACATATTATCGAAGTGTTGACAACACGTCATACTCTCGCGGCGCTCGTAGGAACACTAACTTAGTGAAATAAATAAGCATAGTGGGAACGAGAGGGCAGCAGAGTCGTGATTCGCCGGCCACCAGCGACCGCGTGGCGAGCACGCGACCTGCAAAGATGTTACTACGACTACGACACACCGACTACCTTGAATGAGAATGAGCCCTCCAAACGCACTGTCTGGTAACCTTGTCAAACCATATCAGACGTTTTATTAACTGTCTTATAAGGCGCAGGACTAGCGACATAATATTTTTACTTAATTGTACTAATTCGAAATGCAAGAAAATTTTATATCTCAATTCTTACTAATGTTACTAATATTATAAATGCGACAGTTCAATAAATAAATGGATGGTTGGATGGATGAATGTGTATTTGTTACAAGTAATCTCCCACATATTAAGATTGTTTGATTTCAAAATTAAAAAGGAGTATAGAGTTAAAACTTAAATCGTAACATTTGTTGAACTGCGCCACGGCTTATTTGAGGCATATATGTATATAACGAAAACACAGCTCACTGTGTCTACATCGAGGGTAAGCTATTCTTCGATCCTCCCTACCGCTTTCACGCCCTATATTGGTCGAAATGCATCGGACTCCATAACCTAGGTATTTATTTAAAAATGAACTGCGCAAAATTTTCTGGCGAAGAATCAAGGGAACATATTACATGATTTTGTGAGTCGGCGTCATTGCTTCGAATCATTTAAAGGAAAATATTTTAAAAACTCTTCGTAATTTCTATACCGTTTAGTAATTTTAAAATATTTCTACAATTTATAAATATCGTAAATACTAAAAAGCACGTTTGCTATTTTTAGAATTCATCTGTTTTCAATTATTTTAAATAGATTTATTACCAAATGACCTTTCCGAAAAAAATAATCTTTGATTATTAAATATTCTTCGATTACTTTCTGCCAGTCTGCCTGCTTGTATGTGTGTCCGCAAGGGCGCGTTTGTTTCGGGTAACCCCCGGAACAGGTGGACCGATTCTGATTAAGAAGTAGCTGATGCACGCAGGCAAATTATAGGCTAGTTTTTAATATCGATCTCAACTTGTTCAAAGCGATCAACCACTTGTAGTAAACCGCGGAGACTAAACTATGTAGTTTCTAGTTTTTTATTAAAATATCTACTACACGGTATATATATATGTGGATAAATAAAATAGTTGACCGTGTATGTAACATGAAAATCATGTTACTTATAACTAAAAACATTTTTTTTAATTTTTGTCTTTTTGTGTGTCGGCAGTTCTTAAGTTGGAAGGGTTAAATGAATTTTAATAAATTATAACATTATTTATACATAGAATATAAAATATTCATTATGAGAGCAATTATCAATAGGTAGCTGTCGCCCGCGACTTTGTCCGCGCAAAATTAGAAACTAACCTAATTAGTAGCCTATATGTTCTTCCAGACTAAGTTCTAAATCTATACTTTTCAGAGATGCGTTTACCTACACTTTTAGTTATCTCTTTGTCTACAAAACTCCAACATAGACGTACTTTAAGAATAATAATTGCACCTTTACTAGTAGGTACGACACACAGCCATCGACTCGTCTTTGCTACCAAATTTAGAGACGTATTTTTAAAATGCAATCACTTGGGTAAAACGAGACAAAAATACTTTTGTTAAGAAAGTTGTACATGATCTTTCGCCTTACGACAACGAATATATATGTCAAGTAGGTCAAATCTCCTAAAATATTTAGGAAATGTAATATTATACGTACTTTTAAATAAGCCAAGAAATATATATGATAAAGTTTTTGCCGTGTCCTTTATATTTGAATAGTTTCAATGGCTATTTTTATTTTATTTTCATGAAGACTATAATTAAAACAAACTCACCTCGATCATAAGCACGTGGCGTAGAAAACGTTCTCTGAAAGAAACAGAAACAAGGAAATAAATTAACAAAAATTAAAAATAAAAAAGCATGACAAAAATAAATAATAGACAGAAGATGCATGATAAAATTAACTTGCACAATGAATATGAAGTGACTTTTTAAATTCCATGATAAATAAAAATATTGCAACATAAAAACCTACAAAGACACGATTTTAGAAACAAGTTATTCCAACTCATTGCTTAATTGTATTTGTTTTATTTACATAATTACTTTTATGTCAAATAAAAATTATAATATTTATTGATTGAGCATAAATGAACCAAAAATTTTATGTAATAACGAAAAATTTACAATTAAGGATGCCCAATAGATGAGATGATTCATAAGAATGTGACTTGAAACATAGCCTTTATTCTTTTTTTAAAAAATAAACTGATCACATTATGTGAGACGGAATAAATGCAATGATTCTTGCTACGTAATCTCCAAAACAAAAATAATTCATCCTAAAACAAAAGTTATGCAACTGCGCAAATACACACAGCAATGATAAAGAACGCCGATAGCTCTTACAAAGCAACTGAAACCCGACTACAAAGCTTTAAGACATCCCACCTTTGAATTTTCTTTAAATTCGTGCTGCGACGTTAGACAAGACTGGAAGGGGAGACTACGACGAACAATGCGATTACGTAATCAGCAGCATATTCCAGGTAAATAAATAACAACATTTAAAAAATCTGCTATCTTGAGGGGGATAGGGCGCGGAGTTGTATACTTCTTTAAAAGTTTCTAACTTTAAGTGCATCATCGAGAACTGCGATCTTTGGTAGTGTCTGGATACGAGTTAAGCTTCTTTATTTTTACAATCGTGCCTATGATGTTACTCATTATTTTAAGCGATTAAAATCTCTAATTTTACATACACAAATATGAGTCGAAAATGTTAAAAATGGAACAACATGCGAATCTATTTTACTCGTAAATACCTCTAATAGAATTCGGTGATAATAATTCTTTACCTAAAGTATGAAAAAATAAAATATTTTTGAGACGTTTACAAAAAAACTTGGTTTTAATAAATTGATTATTGTATATGTTTATAATAAAACTAAATGTTTGTAGTTAAAATGGTTATTAATTAAATGAAAGCACTTTACGAACAACGTCGAACAGAGGTAAATTTACACGAAGCGCAAGCTTCTAATATAATTATAGGAAAATATAGTTAGGTCAGACGAACCCTAGAATATTGCATTAAGAATGTCACTCAGTACATAAATTAAATTAAAACAAGCATCAAATTAAAGTTTACTTAGACTTTATTAAACTATTCAATCAATGAAAATTAAATTTTTAAGAAACTTTACTATTTTAGAAAATATAACAGAAAGTTAAATATTAGGTATAAAAAGAGGGTTGCTTTTACTAAATCTGCAGACGATTGTTTATGTTCTTATCATATTAATTTGGCTACACTTGGTATCAAAAGTCTCCTTGACCTGCAGGGTCATAGAAACAGCGGCTCTACGAAGCAATATTCTTATGGCAACATTCATATGCAAATTTGAATTGTCGAATATTTAAACCAACGAAAAAAAACGATAGGTACCAATTTAGAAAATATTCTATAAACAGCTAAGTATAATTGTTAAAGGTAGAACTAATCAAACTATTCTCATCTCTCTCATGTACTTTGAAATAATGGAGATGACAATATGTTTTGTACAAGCATGTTGACAGTGGATACAGAATCTAAAAGCAAACAAGGCGTTACGCTAATTAACCACTAAGATCTTTGTATCCATTAATATACTTGTACTTTGATAAATGAATATAGCTTACAATTCATCACGCACTGGCACTAAATCTATTGTCTTCCATAGAATGCTGTACTGTTACGTAATTAAGTCATGGTTTTGTATTTATCTTAATATATAAGATTTCATCTGAAATACTCAGCGAGAAAACGTCTGTTTCTAGATTTTAAAAAGAAAATTTTAATAAGAACCTGAATAAAACATAATTAGTTTTATTTTTTTATATTGTTGTGTATTGTAATGTTAATTTGTACGACTTGCTCTACTATTATAGGTAGCTATGAGTTAACGACCCGTTGGTCCGTCAGTCCCATATATAGTAACAGTATGCCTGATACATTTCACGTATAATAAATAATTGTTTTACTATAAAATAAACCAATGCAAAGCAAATCATTATAAAGCTCTTCGTACACAAACCGACGTAAATCGTCAAAACTAATATTGGTTTAATCGCCTGAATCTCATTACGTGCGTTTTGTACACACAACGTTGAATCGTCTACGCTAGTTGTCTACAGTATAGCATAGCGACTACATGTCATCTGTATAGATTTCCTCCGCCTTCTTAAAAATTGCTGCGACATTTGTCACGAAGATCTTGACAAATAGGTTGCGAGCGTCTGTATTGTCAAGTTGATACGTCGATTTGATACATTGTATTGCGAAGTCGTTTAGCAACTAAAATCGCCAGATTGTAAAGATTTACGAAGCTTTGTGTACGAAGGGCCTAAGTAATTGCATTGCTCTAGCCATGTATGGTAAGGTAACCTTGACTTGTATTGCATTTCCGCAGTCGAAACACTTGTATGAAATATAAAATCACACCATCACATTTAGTTATACCAGAAAACTTGTGTGCAATTTGTACTAAAACTTGTGTCAGACAGACTATTGTTATAATATAACAATGTCTGCAGTTGATTCGAACATACCTATTGTATTTTTCTGAGATTTACTTATCTAGGTTCAATGTACTTTTAGAAGATTTAATGTAAAAAAAAATAAAATAAAAACTTTTACTGCTTTAAAAATGTGAAGAAAATTATCAGATAAGAGATGTTTTCATCACGGATTTTTCTATTACTGAGTTTCCACTACCGAAGCCTTCCAACAAAAACATATTACATCTTGTTTCTTTTTAAGACACTAAGCGTGATAGCAATACGTTTTGTTTGGCTATTTCAGAAGAGGAAACCATACACGTTAGATCACAACGACCAAATCGCTCATCAATCATGATAACTAAGGCGAGCCGATAAACCTTTATTACGTAGGTTAGCATTATTAATTAAATTAACTTACGTTTCTGAGACCTTAATATCTGTATAAAACATATCCTCATCCCTATCATTATCCTTGAGAAAAAAGAGATAACAATAACGTTATAAACGGATATTTAGATTTCAGAAACCCACGGTAAGTCTACAAATTTAAATTAATTGTATGTTTTACGGTAAATAAAATCAAGCATCTACAGTCGGTATTATTTCGCTATGAATGTGTGTTGTTTTCATGTATGTTGTTTTCGTAAATCAAAAAAAAATACGTCGGAAAACTCAAAATGACATATAACATAATTTTAAATTTACAATTTAATCTTTAACTGATCACAGCTAACAAAGAATATTAATAGTTACTAGAGGTATATAGTCAGTTATAAAATGTGAATGAATTTAAAGTTATTGTGCGAAATAGTGAACGAAGAAAATGGGATGAATGGGGATATTGGTACGTTACTAAAAAAACATGTCGATGAAGGTAAATGTCTGGCGATACAAAATACAGTATTGGTTCCCACATTGATGTATGGAAGTAAGAGTTGGTTTTGGCGCGATAAGGGCGTGGAAATACGACCTTGTATAGGATTAGAAGAATTTTGTAAGAAGAGTTAAAAATCTTAGATGTTTTGGACATATTGACAAGGTTGAACAAAAGGGGAATAGCAAAGGAAGTTTATGGCGCGAAAGTTAGTGGCAGTTCATAATCAAAAAGGGTAAGTGCACACGAAACAAACGAGTATGTATGCGTAGATGTATGACTTTAGAAGCGACAGAGTTGTGTTAATACCGCGCCAAAGGAAAGTCCGTGGTCTCTGCCAACCACTCAGAGCTACGTTAATTATGTTATTATTTAAATTTCACGGTAAAAACATTCATTTCATTACTTTGCTGAGTACAAAAATCATTAAAATTGTTTATTGTAATGTAATTACAGAAATATATCACTTTATCATAGTGATTACTCGGCACATGCTATTAAATCAATCAAGAAATATGATACAGGTTTAGAATATAAGTGTATAAATAATGAAACGATAATGTGCATTAAAATTACTATAAATATATAACAACATACAAATATTTCATTACTGTATATCAAAACTTGATGTGATAAACAAAATGACCTTGTACAAAGATAAGTAAAATAGACCTCACTTAAGTTATAATTTCCTACGTACGATGCAAAGAAGTCATCAGACGTCAACAAGAAGGAAACAAACACCTTTACAGCAAAAAACAACAATCGAAGCAATATTATTCATTGAACATTCTAACAATCGATATTTTTTCATAAACAATTATAAATACCGATTGAGAATTAATACATAATTTTTTACAACTAATTACTTAGTAATTCATCGTTGTCTTACTAAAAATGTTTGTGGATTAAACAATACTTTTACCTACAAACTTACAGAATTAATATTCGAGGAATATTTAGAAGTATTACTTTGCGTGTATATTAGTGGCAATTCACAATTTGTACGTTTTCTTACAAATGTATCCTTAAGTGACTAAACAATTGAAATAAACAACGAATTATTTCAATTCATTATTCATAAAATATTACCTCTTGTTGTTGCTGCTGTTGATGATTCTGTGCCACCAACCTGATACCTGATAGTTCCAAAGATCTAGGATCAAGAGATCGACTTCTTGGCTTTTCAGAATAGAGTACATCTTCTTCCCTCTTCCCTTTAATCCATCTAAAATAATTAGACATTGCGACGTACACACAGGCACGGCACTAACAAAACATGCCGCGGGAGCAACTATTTTAAGTGGCAAAGTGTTTCGCAAACTCGTGTTAACGCGGTGAGGTTATACCGCGAAGGCATCTCTTGAAGTACTGAGCGATAACGTTGTTGTCACGAGATACTAGTTTGAAATAAAACGGTTAAGGTGAGTGAACAATTTCCGAAGATGTTGGTATTTCGTTACGGAAGTGCAAACCGGTCCTAGGAGTCGTGCAATCGTGAGACCTTTCTTTTTCGGCATCAATATACTCTGAACAAAATTTTCAGCGCATCAGTTAACAGTGTATTGTCTTTCAAAGAAGCGTTATACAAAGAATGGAATACCGCGCGGAATGATTAGTACACAACAAAGTGCACAATGTACGGTCTCAAATGTTATGTTTTCCGTATTCATTTAGCCTCGATTTATCAAGCGTTATTACGTCGTGTTTCACGTAGTTTAACGCCGACTGATTGCTCTTCCGTCCGTCCCTCATGTAAAACTATCCTTTATATAACATTGTAGAAAGAATTAAATATATTTAAAGACAAACAATTGTTTTTATTTGTAAGCGAAATGATCGAACAGGTGAAACTGAAATTAAATAATATTTTACTGAAATGTTTTTAAAACTTTTCCTAATAATTTACCGAATTAACATAGAAAATTGTACTGATATTTCTTATAACCGTAGAATGGTACGACATAAGCGTTAGGTTGGATATAGTTCACCGGATAAACGAATGGCCGGATTGAACCCAAGACCGATATATCTGTAATCCGTACCCTTAACCATTAGGCTATTGGCGCTTCATCAACTGTAAACTCATAGTTTCTTTAATGTTGAATCTTGATCCTGCAGGATTATCATAACAATACCACATATGGTAATGTTACACGCCTAGCCCGTTGTTGAAAAGACGGTTTTCAAAAGGTCAAATGAGAAAAATAGTACTGTTTAACACTGCGTAATTAACTTATAGCTCCCTCACTGCCACACTCAGAGATTTATGGTTGCCTTATCTTCGTGTGGATTTACCAGACTAAATGCCTCACAAAATCATTAAGCGGTACTTCTTAGTGTTGATTTTATACGAGAAGTTGCTAAGGGTCGCTTGTGACAGATTATAAACGATGAGAGATTGTTCCTCGTGTAAGAATTTGCCAGGCTAGTACCTGCATCCAAATGCATTTTATAGTTAGAATGCATTAGGATTTTAAAACATAATTAAAACACATATGTATTTAAAATACAACTTCTTCCTCGATCGAGGTTACATATCATAGAAAAACACTATATTCTTCTAATCATAGTCAAAAGATAAGATTAAAGATAACTAGATCATAGAATCACCTATTGAATCGTGTCTATCAAATTATTTTAACTATTTTACAACACATCTTTTTACCTCTATATTTGCATAGATACTAGCTGTCGCCCGCGACTCCGTCCGCGCGGGAATAAAGATAGATAGTAGCCGATTCTCAGACCTACTCTATTGAGTCTCACAAAATTTCATGAGAATCGATCAAGCCGTTTCGGAGGAGTATGGGAACGAAAATTCGGACACGAGAATTTTATATATAAGATATATTAACAGTTGTTTGTATGCCTATAGCCTATTTTCTGATACTAGTCACATTAGGATGAAAGTTTATATAGCCTAATCAGAAATATAAAAAACTTCGACATTTAATAAGAAAAAAATGAAACTAATTTCTTTACGTACATTAGAAAGTGATGTACTAAAGATTGAAGCGCCCGAGACAAGGAAGTTATCTTCTTGGTTAGGCTGACTTTAATTAATTTTAACATTAAAAAAAACAAATAAGACATTCAAATCCATACGTATTTAGACTAAACAGTATTTTATAACATTTCCATTTTAGAAATGTTTAAAATCATTTATGTTATTTGATTAACAAGGTCTGAAAGATGTATCATCATAACAATGCAAGTGAAAACAATTAGGATGTAAAATTAATGTCTGACTGTCTATCTTAATAGGACCTTTGATCGTATGGTTAAATTTAGATGCAAAATAAGTGCGCACTTCGAGGTCAAATTAATGTGTCTACATTGGATATCAGTCTTTAACGTATATGTAGTCCTTTCGAGGTAACCAATTATATAACTTAAGATAATCGAAATAAACTCGATTACAACTACTAAAATATCTTTGAATAACTTCTTGCCGTAGATGCTTACTTCTATTCAGCAATATTAGATGTTGTCAAGAAATCTTTAGCGAGGTTGAATGTCTTGCAGAAATTTTAATTATAGATAAGACGATATTTTTAAATTTTCAATTGTGCGCTTTGAAGCTTTATCTCATGATGGGTAAACAACGCCATCTACCTGGGTAACTTGGAAATAATGCAATGTATAACCACGCCATCTAACGAAAACAAACATAAACAATACTTACCATTCGTCGTTTCTGATTAACTTGTTCTGGTTGAGGATTCGCTGATGTCATGCCTCTAAACATGTCGAGTACTCTTGCAATTGGACTTTGTCGCCTATACAACAATTCCGGACGCAAAGTATGAGCGTACTGTGAGGAAAACAAAACAATAAAGTTTAATAATAATTTACCTACTTTTCATAACAATAGAATTCAGTATTACAAGAGTAATAAAAATAAAACATATTACATTACTAGCTGTCGCGTGCGACTCCGTCCGTGACAGATGACGATATATTTTATACAGAAATTTTGGTCTCAGAAACCCATGGTAAATAACTTGTATGTGTTAATAACTTACCATTGCGTCACTTCCTTGCTGTGTAGATGGTGTAACAGTTGAGTTAGGTCCTGAAGCTAATTCGCTGGTATCGGAGACTGTTTTCTCATTTTTCTGGACTCCACCGGACTTTATACAAAGAAGACAAACTAATTAGTTTCAACACATGAAATGCTACATTTTTTTTTATATAAAAGTGAATTCACCTCGAAAGGCGATGGCAGTGAACGTATTAAAATGTACATCGCGAACAAGTGATACTTTTAATATAAAAAGTAGTATTCTTGCCTTACCATTAAATCTGCACCGTGGGCATGAGGCGAAGAAGAGCCAGATACAGTGCCTTGATCTCCTGCCTCGGTTTTCTGACCATCTTTAGGCCCGCCACCTGATTTTGTCATATTCTAAAAGAGAAAACAATATCTTTAATTCAAAAATTCAAAATCAATTGAAGTGTTTCTTTTTATAAAATATCAACGAGAACAGATGTGTAACCTGTGTACATTTTATTCTATAAAGCCAGAAACTAAAGGGAATGTCAACAATCAGTTCCAAAAGAACTTAATCTTACTTGAACCTAATATATGGAAAAAATAATATTATTTTAACGTTAATAGTGAATGCATACCTGAACAGTTGACTTAAATTGCTGCATTATAGACATGTGTCGCTTTGCATCTCCGCGGGGACGTGATTTGAAAATATCAAACAAGGCTGGACGTCTGCTTACCCCACTTGTACCTATAACAGAAAAAGAATATTTTAATTTAATTCAAAACTTAAAGTAAAAAAAAAACAAATGGGAATAAATTATATCCCAACAATTGTTACAAATAGATTTGATTCCCATGGAATAGAAATAAAGGTTGAAGTTTCATGTATTAAAACTCAAATTCGTTTGGCGCTATCAAAGCTAATCTCTTTAGTTTAAACATCGTGTACAAAATATGTTTTTTTTCTCGACATAACATACAGACACTCCAATTTTATTAATATGTATTGTATAGATTACCGTGTATAGTTTGTTGATATAGTTGGTCAGCCTGCCCATCGTCAGCAGATCCTCGACGCTTCCGTTCACCAACTGATTGTGAGCTACGGGTGATAGCTGCGTCCAAACGCTGGTCTGAAAAGATTTACATATTTACCAACACATAACAGTCAAGTAAACCAAATAACAAGCAAGCAACTTAGTATATTTTTAGCCGACTTCAAAAAGAACGAGGTTATCAATTCGTCTGTATGTTTTTTTTAATATACAACGTTTGTAATCCTCTGATCTGGGAAACATATTTTAGAAATTATAACGTTAATAACAAGGTAATTTTATTAAAACATGAACAATCAGTTATGTTACTTCTTAACCCAATGGTACTATTTTTTAATTATTTCTTACATCATTAAAACCAAGTAGCATATGCTGCAATTATAGGAGATAGACGATAGAGGACTTATCACACAAGTTAAAAGGGAAATAAAGATACTTTAATTTGTTATTTTATTTTATTATAGGTACCCCGTCGATATAATATAGGCTACGCTCTATGATCACAGTAAATCAATGACTTTGCGGTGCATAATAACTGCGTGTATGCGTTACGCTCCCGGGAATATCTCGGTCACTTTTACTATCCATTTTATTGTATCCGCTTTTACTTCGTATATAAAAAAGCTCTGATGTACAACTTATTTTGATAATTACCAGTCAATTGTAGTACAAAATACCAAATTGTTGGTTATACTGCATATGCAAAATTTGACACATTTGCCTACATAATACTATCCCAAGTGTAATACATAAATTTCCAGTTTTACAGAACTTAACAAAAATTTTTTACGCAGGTATTATAAAAAAAAGTAGTATATTAAATAACTACGCGACATAAACGTTGTCGTTGATGGAACAAGTAACGTATTTACTTTGGATTTCTGAGACCAAAACCTTTGTTTAAATCAAATACTTAGGCGCTGTCGCATTCTATGACCTGCAATGTTAATTTCAACAGCTCTTTAGGAGTAGTAATAGACGACTATATCGAGTTGCTATCTCAGTGTCAGCGTATGTTATCGGGTTCCGTCAAATAAACGGCGAGACCGTCCGCATTATATAAATTGCCATTTACCAAAATAACTCTAACGCTAATACCGCTATTTTCGCGTAATATTAACGCATTGAAACGGCATGCATTATGCATTTGTTACGCTCAACACCACAACAAATTCCGATGGCGTTCGTCATAACAACGATTACTGATAAGTTTATCGATATTAACTAACATTTGCTTAACATTTATTATTACTATTTTATAGCAAAAGTTAACTAACGAACATAAATTACATAATTTTGTTTATGTATTAATATTTTATAGAAGGTTACTTTAATATTAATTGTGTGTTAATTGAATACTATTACATTCATAGCAGCATTTGGCATAGATGAAAAACATAGCCTGAAAGAACTCATAGGCGTTACGTTTTTTTCATTTCAGACGGAGTCGCGGGCGTTACAAGAATACCTTTAGGAATACCTTTACGATAACGAATTGGTGATGGTCGTTAACTAATTTTTTAAAAAATATTAATTATTCTTTCTATTTTTGTTTTAAATTTTATTCTCTAAATTGTGTAGAAACTGTATTTATGTATCAACTGTGTTAGTCACTCGTAAGAAAAATAATAAGGTGATAAAAACACTTGAGCGATTAATAGTGCAACACGTTGACTTTGATCAAAGTAAACGCGCATTCGTTAACTGCTCGTCCACCGAGTACATTATCCGCGTTGCGATCGTATAGTCAGCGTCAATACGTCGATACGTCATTGTCCGGTGCGTGCGGGTGACCGAGTTGACGACTGCACGTTAGCCTTTAAAGATTTTATAATTTATTTATTAAGTATGCTAACAGCGAGTGTTTGCTTGTTTAATATCTATGCAATTCTATGTAAACAAAACACTCATGACCGTGTTACCGAATTTCAAGCAGCTAGCTATTTAACTTGTCTATGGAAATTTAAGAGCTGGTTACAACGAAATTTCACTGCCGAAGCATTTGTTTTAAATAACACTTGGTTTCCCCCCGGGACTCCGCCTGCGCGGAATTAAAAAAAATATCTTAATAAGTAGCCTATATATTCTTCCATGGTATGTTTTACATGTGTACCAAATTTCATCAAAATCCATTGTGCCGTTCTGAAGATACCTTCACACAAACACCCATCCATCCATCTATACTTGCGCATTAATAATATTAATAAGTAACATTACGTTTCAACAGTGGAAACACATAGTTAAAACATTTATAAAGTTACATAGCGACGACGTCAGTTGCGGCTTGAATGAGTCGAATCGACTGGGAAAGTACCATGACCTCACAGAATAGACCTGCTTTGCGCAGCTATACATTACGTGAACATTCACACAACAAGTTAAATGAATGTATAGTAGAACACCATAACTTACAATAAGTAACCTACTCTACTTTAGCTTATTGAAAAGCATACAAAGGCGAAGTTAATAAGTTATGTTCACTACCCCTCATTTAATAACAAAAGACGAGCAGTTATTAGCTTATTTAAAGTATAGAAAAATCAAATAGATCTCACTTAAATTAAGACGTTAAAATCACTAAGGAACTCTTTGTAATACTAGCATTTAAATGGATAACATAGAGATATAGGTACTTTATAACCTTTACGTAACATTCTTTTATCAGCCACTCTATGTGTCTAAGTACTGGCGAGGCGCCAGATATACGGCAACTCAAATACTACGTGGGCTCATACTGACCAAACGTCACGGTACGGCTGTGGAAATCTATGCTCATTATTTTTAAAATCGCACATTATTCAGAGATAAAAAATGGTAGTAGACATATAGCACTAATATTGAGTTTGTTTTCACTCACGTAAATATGGATCCAGTATGTCGTTGTACTTATTTTGTTATTAGGCTTGTTAAGTAAACGAGTTTAGTAAGGAACTTTTAACATATACGAAGTAAACCAGTTTAAATAAAAACGTTAAACAAAAAAAATTACCTCGTTTTTGTCTTCTCTCATCACTGCTCCTTCTTTCTTTTTCTTTTTTAAGATTTGTTTTCTTCACAGCTTCGATTTCTTTGTATGAAGCCTGCGATCCCCAAGTGCCAGATCGGCTCCGCTTGGCTTCTTTCTTATCCAGCTTATCTTCTACAGATTGTTTGAGCGGATCGACTACTTTAGATTTGGGCTTAACAACTTCTTTCTGGAAAATAAACATCCAACGTTGACTATACAGGTTATACTATGAGATCTCAGCGTTAGTAAATAATACCAAATGCTATACGCGTATTGTATGAAAAATTCCCGAAGATTGACGATTTTACCAAGCAAACAATACATAAATACTTAAACTTACTTTAACTTAAAAGCCTAATAATTAAATCAGTGGTGTTTTTAAGCAATCAAATGTAGTTAGTAATTTAGATGGGCTTACCTTTAATTCTTCTTTTCGCATCACCCATATATCTTCTGAGCTGGTCGGTATGCCGTCCACCGTAGATCTTATTTCTATTAAACTACTGTCAAAATAATTCTTATCTCGGTGAAGGTTCTCCCCAGCAAAAATTGATCGCACACTTCGTCTTTGCTCTTCCGCTCCTTTCGTACCAAAATGTACTGTGTGAGCGTTATGAACTTGTGAACGAATAGCTTTCTCAAACTGAGAAGCTGGCGGAGGTGGAGCTGCTTCGGCGGTAGTCACTAAGAATTTGTGTTTTGCACCCATTACAGTGCGCTTAGAAGATTCCCGCTCATCTGTTGAAGAATCTTCATCCTGGGATTGCTTTTTGCTGCTATGTATATCATTTTCTATGTGGTCTGTACTCCTATGAGCCAGCCAAGCTTTACCCAGCACGTCCGATGTATCTTTCTTTTTTTCATCATCCTCGTCTTCTTCACGACATTGTGATAGGCGTCGTCTCTCCACAAACGGAAATGGGGAATTAGTGTTACGACTCGAAAGATTGTTGCAATGGTTCATAAAATAATGTTGGAAGAAACTGTCAGTTTCGGGAGTGTCATTCTCTCCTTGAATAATATCTTTAAGTGCAGCTAAAGATGTTATAGTGTTATAATTAATAGCGTTTACCAAATCTTCGCTATCTGTCGAACTTTCAGAGCCATTGCCGGCGTCATCTACATCCAATTTGCTGACTTGCTTGCATACTTGATCCAAAGTCAGGTCTGTACTTTCTGTCTCCATTTTTTTCGTCTTCTCATTTTTTAACTGGGTATTCGAGCTCTGTTCTGATTCGGAATCCATTGGACAGCATTCGAAGCAATAAATTCATGCAATTAATTTACGAAAGGAAACTAGATCTCTTTGCACACAAATCAACCACAAATAGTCACATGTTATTGTTTTTATTTGTTCTTAAGTAATATCGAAACTAATTTTGTGACTTCCGTCACCGATTGGTCGACATTTTACTGTGTCTAATACGGAAACACATACCAATGTACATTTCACTGATCTAAAAAAAACATTTTTTTTTAATTATCACGTCTCTTTCGGTTACCCATTCCTTAGGAAAAAATTATGAAAGGTGGAAAAGGACTAAGTTGGATCCCTAGCATATCTGTGTAGTGTGCAGTCATGGTATGTTACCGGTCGAGACGTCTTTTCGTCATCACGCAGATAATTCAAGTGCAGATTAAGAGAAAGAACCTATTACAAAATAAACATATCTTCATCCTGATTTTAACTGGATATTACATTGTCAATGTGTGGCATATCGGCCAAGGATATATAACTATAAGGTTGATCATTAAAACATTAGAGATTGCAATAAAGTCACAGATTTGAATTGCAATTAATATTTCATTAATTCTGATCAGACGCAAAGCGTTTGAGATAAATGGCCGGCCAATGCAAACAAGCATGAGCAAGGCCAGACTTATCTAAGGCAAAGTCTATGACGTCTATAATCTGTATTTGCTCAAGTCAATTATTGTATATTGCATTCTTATATACGATAGGCAAAGATTACGTAAAAAAAACTATACTGTCATACAGATTATCTTTTTTATTTTACGTTAAAATCTGTTTTCGAAGTGTTTGTTATGTACACGACAAGAAAAGAACAACTATACCGAAGTTCAAGTCAATCGTATTTAATATATTTCACTCAGTCGACACGTGGTAAAAATCGCTTATTATAGATAAGAATAAGAATATAAAATTTGTTCTTTATGATGTAGGTCAACAGCAAAAATCAAATGTTCTTGTCATTAAAATTTTAGTTAAATATTTTTTAATTGAAAGAATGATAAGGAGAATCTTAACCTAATTACCCAATTATCAAATAATCATATAGACATTTATGGTTAGAATTAAACTTTTCATATATATTGTAGTGTAGGTAGACAAAGATAATGGTTATTTCCCATTGTTAGTCATAAATACGTCAGTGAAAATTCAATGTGTATGTTAACTTAGAAATTCAAGGTGATTGATAATAAACACCAAAGATATATAAATAGTTAGCAAAGATAACATTAAATTCAATGCAAAAGAAGTTGGTTATCTCAGCACGTCCAGTCTTTAATCAAACAGTTGCTGATAAGAAACACAAGTCGGAAATGATGATTAAAACCACGTCTAAGAGAGGACTAAGATAGCTATAACTTTAGTACATATTTCAATAGAATTTAGTACAAAATAAAATTTATATTCACTTTCTGACATTTTCAGTTACAGACCGGGCAGTTCAATTCTTTTAGTTCCTCCTTATTCCACTTATATGGGGTTGACGTGGAACATTTTACAAAACTTAAGGTTTTGACCTAATTTTTTACAACTGGCCGCCTGCCTGTTACCAACCAGTCTATTAGAGTCTATAATTGAAATGTTAGAATCTATACAGTAGATATGAGAGAGGCCTGTTCTTAATTGTCCAAAACAATATTGTCAAATACAGTGTCCTATATCATTTGTATGTGTTGTGTCATCGTACTGGCCTTACCAAGGACATGTTATTTATTGCTTTGTATCACACCATTGTTACAACAATTGACTCTATACATTGACTCATTTAAATAATGAATACTAATTTGTGTACAAAAATAAGTGATTCTATTAATATTAGGTGTATCCATTGCGTTTCGTACCATTGTATTTTTGATTATAATAGTAAAATAAGTAACATATTTTAAAGATTTTTTTGATATTTTTTTTAGGTAAATCATAATCTTTACAGAAACAAAGTTTGTGATAGTATTCATTGAGGTCACAAACCACAAAACATTATATTAATGAACTTTAATATGAGGTCACAGGTTTTTCTTCCAGTCAAACTTTTTGTTTGAATTTTAATAAAATATTGTTCACTGTATTTAAACATGTCAATATATATAGTTGGTGATATCAAAAGAATCAATCAATAGAATCAGAAAATAAGCATTGTCGGTTAGCATTTGTTTCCGTTACATGCATAACTGTGGGTTCTGACTGTCATGAAACTTGTGGTTGTGTCTGTTTTTTCAAAGAGAATGTAAAGGATGACAATATGTGTCAAAGTCTAGTGTCACTGCAGTTGAAACCCACATTCAAGTTGATGTTTAAGAAAATGAATAATGTGTAACTGAATTAATAATTTTTAAGTAAAAGATACATTCCTTTTAAGCATTATTTAGATACAAGTTTATTTTAAATTCAAAAATATCGGCTAATTACATATAAATATACAAATTATATGTAATGTTCTATGTTTTCTAAATAATAATAATTTTTAAAAAGTTAGCAAAGGAAAAAGAAGATTTTAATAAAGAGACTAACCGTTACTTTTAAATATATTTTTATATAAAAGTAGTAGGACCTTCCTCAATGAAACTACGGTACAGGGATAAACGAAAGAGACGTGACGAAATTATTTGTAGAACAAACCGTAAACACATCACATCGCATCACCATTAAAGTCAACACAATGACATCTCATAATTTGTCACTCACATTTTATTTTCACCTCCGTTGTTCATAAAATAACATAAGCGAGTAGTAATTTTTTTTTAAATATCTTGAATATTAAACAATTTGCAAGTTACCACAAGGCAAAATGTTCCCACTTTCCGCATATAATAGACAAAATAATTGTAGGAAACGACGACACTGACAAGTTAATGACACCTAATAAGTTAGTATTGCCAATTAAAAATATTTGTGGTAATTTTTCCACGTGCTTTCACTTTTGCAAATCGAGATTTTTATAAAAATTCTAGAATATTATTATGAATATTTTGGAATGATTATTTGGAACATAAAATAAAAAACACTAGGACGAAATTAACAAATTTTTAATATAACCTGGTCAGGAAAACAGAAAACCTCGTCGTGTGACGAAAAACCTATGAAAGTTAAGTTTTTGATACTGGCAACAGCAATTTAATTTAAAAAATAAAAATATTGTTATGCATTGATGTCTATAAATGGATAGGCTTTTGCTTTGTTTCGATTTAAACAGACAGTTAATTGTATCTATACTATTAGTTCGACTCCTAATCACCGCTACAAACTACAAACAGCTACCATCAGCGTCAAAATGGCGGAAACCAAATAGTCACTTAACACAATGTACTGTAGCCAGTTTATTTATACAAGTCAGTGTTGCCATGGCATTCGTATTGTAGAATTTTGTCGGTTAAAGAGAAAAACTGCCTTTTGCTCACTATAGATGTCAGCATGACCGAGAGTTACTATGCATATAATATTCTAGTGTGTCTATTTAAGGATGATAAGATTGAGAATTATATAATGTTTTTTTTAAGATATTACAGTGACTCCAATTTTATTCAACTGTAGATTACACCACTTGGTTTGACGACGAAGATGTTAAGTACTGCAATTATAAATGGATATTGCTGGTCAATCTTTAGATCTCGTCACCTATTTTACACTGCTGGTAATTCTTTTATAAAATGAATTAAATATTGACCAAACCTTAATTTCATGATTTTCAACTAAAAATCAACTGATATTATCGTCACTCTTAGATCCTTCTAATAGTTAAAGGAAAAAAAACGCTAAGAACTTATTTTTTTTAATAAGAGGAATAGGGCGGGAGTAATTAGAATACTATGCCTAACGTTTTAGTATTTTATACTTTACGTTTCAAACAAATATAAACCTGTATGAGTTACTTGAAATGGCCTACTTGTGGAGCAGAGGGCGTCACTGATTGTGATAGTTTAAAAGTTAAATAGAAATATTTCTTCATAGTACAATAATTTGGGAATTTAAAGTCTATTATCACGCTCATTAGCGGTTTAAAAATAATAGCGCCGCTTTGCGTAAGCGTTAACAATAGAACTATTGTGTCAAAGATTGATTGGCATCAAAAAGCTTCGAAAGAATTTCCATGTGAGTATTTATTTTGCCATATCGTGATTCTGCAACTCGACATTACAAAATTATTTTGCGCCCACATCCACAATGTATTTACTTGTAAGTCTGCCCGTTTCTAACAAGCGATATAAGTTAAACGAGATTTTAGCACGAAATACTTACTTGATACAAAATATTTTATATTCCATGTCATTACACTTATGATACATGCAGTGGATTTATGTGTATCTTCAAAATCTAGCTTTAAGAATTTCAGATAGAAAATTTCCAGACCAACATTTTTTTTGATTATTAATTTTTTTGCTCCTCTTTTTTCCTCTACTGCTTTAGCGGCGCCATAGTGGCCAAAGCTTATTATTTATTTTGATTTCTAAATTCTTATTTGCCAAAATCATTGGCAAAAGACCTCATTTGTATTGAACACGATGATGCGTTTTTAACAGACCTTGCAATTGATTTCGAATATAGCAAGTTGCTGCATAAGGCAACAAAAGCGAAAGTATTTTGTTCGTAAGGCATTAAAGTAAATTGTGTGTATTGAATCGTCGTCCGTGCCGTATTCCTATTGTAAACATGAATTAAAACGTAATAGCTGAATCAATCTTTGGCATATAAACGTTATGAGGATGCAGGACTTTGGGGCACGTAGAATTATTGGTATCTGATTGATACTTTGATAACTGACTGAAATGTCTGTTTCTTTAATTTAATTTTTTTACACTTTGCACATATATTGTAAATAAAAGTCTAATATTGAAAAACCATTGAATTCAACTAAGTAATTTTTTACGTAGACAACATAATAAGATACAATATGTCGAGGTTTATTGTAGACTCATTTGTTTTTCCTTGTATTCGAATTAAACATCGGCGAAAGTTTCATAAGCGATTATTTGGTATTTTTCAATTCACTAAATAGAGGAAGAAACCTTTTAGATATCGTTTTAAATAAATGTAATCCTTACAATTCGCATGCTAAGTGACAATCACTTGTGTTGGAAAATGGCAAATTTCAAGTGTACATTACGCATTATCACTGGTTGGACAGCTCGATTAGATATTACTTAACATCTGAGCCCAGGTCGTCCTCACCTTTGACCTCAATGAAAGTGACTAGCCTCAATGTGTAACTTTTAACTTCATTTTCAATCCAATGACCGAATTACCAATCTCTGCATAACTGTTAAACTATTTCATCTTAAAAATAGTCTGGTTTTATTATTAATATTTAATAATTATTATTATTAACTTTCATAGTAAGTGAAACATTTTTAATTGAAATTAAACTTTTCCTTATAAAGGCTACATGAAGCAAAATACGAAATATATTACCTTAATTATTCCCGTCATCGCGTTAAAAAATAGCTTAGTAAATAATTCTGTACATTTATAAAATAATATTAAAGGTCACTATTAACTATGTAATAAAAGAATATGAACACATTTGCCGTAAAACATTTTTAGAAATTCTTAATTAGCATGTTATTGTCAGTATCATTGTACAGAGAACATGATTTCGTCTATTTGGTAGGCAACAAATTACCAAACGGCGCTATGTGGACAATGATCGGTATGTGTGGTGTCGTGTGTGCCTCTACGCATATAAATCAGGTAAATGATGCCGGGGTGGCGGGCGGACCAGTGCAGCGACACCGAAACTTGGAGTGTACCCAAAGTGCTCGCGTTGGAACGGCAGATCAAGCGTGGCCTCCGTACACTGTAGACCTGCACGCAACCGCTCCGCGGAGAAAGGACCAACGGCAGTGCCTCTTGCGACACACGCGGCCCCAACATCAACATGAGGATACTCCCCTTGTAAGTAACTGCACATCACTTATTTCACCCATCTCCCAGCTTTCTATATTCTGTAGCTACATCTGCAAAAGTCTCAGCTGAGCGACTGCAATTGCGATGTCATAATATTGCAATTAACCGTCCAAAAGGTGCCGGTGTTTGCTAATTTTGTGTATAAGGTGTTCAATTCAGTCCTTGTTTTAACTTTTCGCCCCGCGATTTTTTTACTATTATTCGTAAATAAAAATAGTCATTGATTTCTAAAGTATGCAATATACCTTTAGAAATCAAAGCCTATATATAGAGACGTGCAATTTGAACAAAGTAGTGTTCTCAAAAAGTGTTTTGCCTTTCTAATATGGATAGGATTGGTGTTGGAGACACAAAGGTGTTGTGTGACGAGGAACACTGTACGAATGGATAGTGATTTATGTCTTATTGTTTTAACCTTTCAAAATGTCACGATTGGTCGTGCGTAAAATTAATATGTAAATTAATCAAAACTGCTTTTATCAATATTTTACACAACACATGTTGGATGTAGATTTCCTGGTAACAAATTTTGAACAGACACCAGAAAATTATCTAAATGGAAATATTCATCATTAGCATTAAATATTTTATGATTTAATTATACTTAATATTAGTTGTTTTATGCCAGATTGAAATCCTGAAAAACTAGTTATTTAAATAAAGCAGTGTTCAAATAATGTTCAATATGTAATTAAGGAATAATTTTAAATTTTAATTATTTTTTTTAATTGGAGAACAACGAATATGTTAATCCCATAGTATATGTGATTCGTTGTTCTTTCACAAGTGATGACTTATAAACCTCATTATAGCCAGTCACAGCTTGACCTAGTGCACCGAACCAATTAATTTTCAAACTAATTGACCGAAACCGCGAACCGGTTTCCTCACTTACACCGTCCCATGTTGAAAGTTAGATCCGCGACCTACGATTAGGCAATCGTCGTTATGTAGGATGAACAGTCACAGTTACGAGCAAACTCTGAGCTTTCAATTAGTCAATATAAACCATGTTACGTAAACACTTTGATAATATCAAAGTGTACATTTTATAGGCATAATAAGATAGATACAATCATGTCGTTGCTTATTATAAGTATAAAAAATACATATCTTTTTAGTCAATTTACATATCCGGCACCCAAAAACTATGACTACATGATAAAGATTTTTAGAACCACATTTATCTAACGAGAGGTTTAAGTACTTATAATTTCATTGATAACTGTGATAATATATTTACTGCGATTAACTAAACTTTTTATTTATGCTTCGAACGAGCAAAAGAAACTATTTTTAACTATAGACCACATCATTATATAGAAATCAAAGGATATACAAATAATTAAAATAATTTTTGTAATTACGTATCGTTAAAATAAAGATAAACAAGGAGTATGTCATACGCAAGTGTAACTGGATAAAGATGTTCAATAATACTTACCACTTACTCAACTCAAACTTTACGAACATAACCATTTGGCAATAAAACACTGTTGTGCAACTAAACTATTGACATTTGCCGATGTATTTACGATGCAGGGACGTGCATACATTCTATATTTCAAAGTTTCTTTCGCACCTAATTCATACTTATATAATGTTAAAATCTTCATCCACAATATTTCTTTAAGAAAGATTAGACATGTTCTAAATTCATTTGTGCAATTTTACTTGTTTGCCTAACTTTAATTGTAACCTTTGTGTTTTGTGGGAAGATAGGATAGAACGCTTCTCATGGTTTAATTCAATCAGATATATGTAATTTCACAAGCAGTAATTGTTAAGACAAAAGCCAAGTCGATGCTTGTCTGGCTTTAAATGGACCTAGTTGATAATTTTAAGGAATTCAATTGATTGCTTCGCCTTGCCTGCTCGTCACAGTCCAAGGGCTGTACAATCACTACGACAGGCTGCCGCATTTTGTCACAAGGCCAT